TATATATAATTTTTTTTTATTTTTTTAATTATTTTTTTATTTTTATTTTTTATTTATTATTATTATTATATATAAAATATAATTATTTTTATTATATATATATATATATATTATATACAGTACTTGATATTCTATGTCAAGGTATCACCGACGTGCGCGATCCGGTTTGCGCCGTACGATACTTGTACGGTATCCTCTGCATACTCGATACATGATTTTCAATTAAGCGTTTCGCTATCGATCCTAACGCTAGCGTGGAAACGACATGTATGATTAAGTAAAACGAGAATGTACGTTATCTTTACCACTTAGTACAGTCTACAATATTGAAATGAACGTCTGTTTCTTTTGACCAAGGAACCCTGATCGAGAATGTGCTGCAACATTGCCATATCGACGGATGTGATGCTGTGACCAACGAACGCTGCCGGGGTACTCTGCCCCGTGATAACTCAGTGGGCAACGTTGTGGTTCAGGTTCGAGGCCGGGCATAGGCACACTTCGTTTCCTATTGGGTGCCAGTCGTCTGATGGAACGCCTAACAGCGATACTGGACATAGAGGCTATGAGTACGTTACCGCAAAGTCCCTTGTTAGTCCGTCAACAGAATCGAAAATATCTTCTAGGACGACACAAACAACGGGCGAACTTCATCCTAATACTTCTCAACAAGCAGCGGCTGGGGTGAACCGAAATGGGCTATAATTGCATAAACAATTATATAAACAACGTATCAGTCCCACCTCAACCGGGGTCTATCTGTTAACGTGCTCTCTACTCGAGGACGCCTAATTCATATATAGCAGATAAGTCATGGATAAAGAACATAGAATACTGCGTACATTGAGTTAGCTGAATACGTACATGTTTCAGGGCTTAGGTAAACAGTTCGTATGAATAGCACCAGTCTGCTATTTACAGAATACAGTTGCTCGTAACGTATAGTTCCTATTACAATTGAGGTTAAATCTCATCGTTTTCGTAACTTTTCGTCATCCACTCGTTGTGTTACTGATGTAAAAGGGCAATGCGAACAAATAACCCTAACGATCGTAATAGCCCTATTCATCGTTTGAATATACAGTGACGACAGAACAATTGTACCTGTCTGATGGAGTGTCCAACAACGATACCGGACATAAAACTCGAAGCTCCTTGTCTAAAATAATTATATCTAGATATAAAAATGCCATTTTCGGATCACTCATATATACACGGATCACTGGTACGTTCCATAGTATTTTCGCGTCCTGTACAGTCAGTAATTGCGCACAAAACCCATGGGAGCTCACCTCGCGATGTCCGCAAACGCTCCTTCCTCATTGCACGTACATATAGACATATTCATGCAGATCGCATCCACCCACACACACCTATGTAACGTGCATATACAGATCGCTGCCATTCACAATTTGTTGCATACGCCCCCAGTGGTTTCCACATTTCCATGTTCTTTCTGCCTGACTTTTGGTTTGTCCGAACCACTCCCGTTCCGCCCTCGCCCGCACCCGCGCCCGCGCTCGCCCATTGCCGCTTGCCCCCGGAACGTAGATCCCGGCAAGCAGTGTGGAGAAGACTAAAAGCGGCATAGCGACGCTTCGCTTTGCGCAGCCGTAGTGGCAACGGTGATGGCGTTACAGCCATTATCTGGCCATCGTCTTCGTGGTGGTCGTGTGAAAGGTCGCAACTATTATTACTTTTCATTTCAATTTCGTCCGACATGCGCCGTCCGGCTAGCACTAGCGGCGGAGACGGCAAGCGGCTGAGATTTTGACCAGAGGAGGGCAAATCCAAAGGCGGTAGCAGGATGGACTTCGCCTCCCATCTTTTCATCTGCGTCAGAATGAGCCGGTTTGCACATTCAGTGTTTTCCCTTTCTCGCCATCGGCTGCCCTCTCTTGTGGCACTTTTGCATCACTTTCGTTCTATCTTTAGAGCTTGGCCCCTTTCTTCCTGCTCTCCCTTTATTCATTTGACGGCTTCGGCTGTGAATTGTGGATACGACAGGGCTCGTTGAAAGGAGGATCATACTACTGCTGCTGTGATGCCTTGTCGCGTGTGGGACTGAGTGTGCGGCTCTGCCACGCGTGCTTGAGTAACACGGACGCGTCCGGTTGAGCCCCGTGTCCAGCCGCTGCTACTGCTGTTAGTACTGCCTGAGAGAGTTGATCGATCTGCTAGATAGCAGTTCTCTTATTTGGGCCTGGCTTCCTCGTTGCGCTGTGCCGCTACATACAATGAACCATTCGCTGGCCCATTTTGTCCGTTCAATATTCGTTATTGAGTCGGCGTTCTTTCCTGCTACTGCTACCCACCTCCTCTAGAGCCACTGCGGCTACCGCTGCCGCAAATCCTTCGGCATCCTTCCTCCCATCTAACAACAACTTCGCGTTCACCGAAAAATTCCTTTTTTCCATTCCCTGTTCCTTTTTTCCGACACTACAGTTACACTGCGTACGCTAAATACCAAATCCAATTCCAGAATTCATCGGAAGCTGCAAAAGAAAAAGAACTTCACGTAGGCGTTAGAGTTGAAGCGACGTTGTAGGTTTGATGATTCGAGAGCAATCATTTCTGCAGCCACCGCTGCCGGCCAAATGAAAGTGAATCCAAAGAGCTGAGTTGGGATGTCCTGTACGCAACTTGGGTTAGTTAGTGACTTTGCCTCGCCCGGTCGGACGCACAACAAAGAAAACGAAATTACCTGAATCCGCGGTCGCACTCAAAGTCAGTGGCGACCACCCGTTTATGCTATTTACGCTTCATCCAAAACCGTAAATGCCGCCGCCGCCGCCGCCGTCGTCGCGATCACGCGACCGTGGAAAATGGCGGCGACTGTCCCTTCCCGCTTTTTGCAAAGAAGTGAAGAAAAAATACGAAAAGAGAGAGCTTCCAACTTGATGTGCAACTGGAGAGCTCTTAGGGGCAAAAGTGAATATGACAATTACCGTTTGGACTATTAGTTCGATGACAGCCTTGTCGAGACACTAGGCAATAATGAAAAACAAAACACTTATAGCCCAAAAACCTCCATTAACATAAATAGGATACAGTTAGGGGGTTGGCTTCGCGCTGATTTTACTCGAAACTCTTTGTTGGTTGATTGTTTCAACTGTGTAGCGGGCCCACAAAGAGGACCAAGCCTAGGCAACCGCCACCAATAATATGAACCCGCCGCCCGCTCATCCGTCCACGTGCCCTCGCCGCACGAGTGTTGTCACAGCCGCCGTTCGCGTTCCCACTTCAGCCCACGAGCACCCGACAACCACAGCCACCGCCGTGAGTAGTGACCGCGCAGCCACGGCGGCGGCGGCGGCGGCGGACAAACGCTTCAATTGTTGTCGGTTCGACGCTACGGGTTCGGGACCGAATTCGAGCCATTGAGTTATCGTTGCATGCCGCTACCGCTTCTCGGCTGGCAAAAACGGAAGGCTTTTGTGTACTCTATTTTTTTCAGAGGGGTACTACAGAGGCGCATTGCTGTGCAACAGAAGAGAATGGAACGAAAGGGAAATTTGAGAGCCTACTTAGAAGTGCGAGCCGGTAGTAGCAGGAGCAAAGAAAGCGCTAGTTGGGCGCCAGCAGTTCTGACGGGAGCGGCAGATCACACGGTGGCAGATGTGTGCTTGGCGACGCAGCGGGTGAGGCCAGCTGGTGACTGGATAGATTTAACGGAGCGTAGAGAACAAATAACGACAAACCCAAGGTGAAACGGAAAGAGGGAGACCGAAGCTGGGGAACTGGGGCTAGACAGAAGAGCGTTTGTGGACGGGCCATCGGTACACTCTCTGTGCAGAACAGAGAAAGAGAATAAGGAAGGCATCGAGGAGAGTAACTGGACACAAGGGCAACTACCGATGGAGCAACTGGCGAACAGGGGGGCAATTGCAGTCGGGGTATACGAAGGCAACCACTGCCACTAGCTGTGGAAACAGTGGTAGCGGAAGCAGTTCCAGTAGCAGCAGCTTAGGAGGCACAGGCGAAACCACCAAGAATTGCTCTTTTAGAGGGCCATTCCAACGGCTGCCTCAACAGTCTCTTACCCCTCAGGGGTTCGTTTCATCTAGGCCAAAGTCAGAAAGAAATAGAAAGCAACTTGCGCACAGCTAGACTGAATTGGGCGGGACAGCAAGATAGTCGCGCAGAACGAAACCGACTCAGCGTTTTGTGCAGACCCCGTTGTTTTTCTGCCTCTTGCTTTTCTATCCTTATTTTTTCTATCATGCCCGAGCTAAGTTGAGAGCAAACGTTCTGCAGTAGTAACAGGCAAAAACTACTAACGCTAGTTAGAATAATGGTTGAAAAAGAGCTCGCCGCAACAGCGAAACCCAACGCCACTAGCGCACCTCCTTAGGCACCCTCCAAACACATAAACCACTACAGTTATACAGTAACTACGAGAAGCGACCAACCGACCGACCGACCATAGACTAGAGAAAAAAAAGGTTCTCTAAGGGACGAAAGGGAAGGCAAACGACCGGACTTTGTGCAGTCAACCTGCTGGTCAAAGTGGGTCAAACTAGCCGGGTGGGCAACAATTTCCTTTTTTCCATAATTTTCTTCGCTGCCTTCCATGACAGGCTTAAGTACCCCTGTTTAGCACTGCTTCAAGCACCTGCTGTTGAGGTGGGGGCTAAATAGGAGAAATCTGGATGAAGAAACAGTTATCATATTCATCGCTGTTCCACTCTCTCGGCGAATTTTTATTATTTCTGGTGAACTCAAGTTTGTCTACGTTCAGATTCAAACCTAAAGCACCTAGTAATAATAATATGTTTGTCAGCAAAACGATCAGCAGACCGCCAAACGCTCTATTTGAAAAACTAACGCTTCCTCTCTGCACTGATTTGCATCGATT